ATCCTCTATTCCTTTCAAACCATATATTCAACAAGATGGCTAATTAAGTAGTCTTCCACAAACTTTTCCCATATCTCCGGAAGGAGGAGGATCTAGAACCTCCTCTGCCATCATGCAACAAGATCTATACAAGCCAAGAGATAACAATCAGTCCAGACAAGATTTATCACCAGCTATACCTCAAACCTTAGAAAAATGAGCTTAAGGGGCGGACAGCCAACCTAGACATCACCCCAACTACGGTATTACCAACATTGTCAAGGCTCTAGTACTCAACTTTCATCCTTCCGAGTAGACCAACCTTTTCAACTTAAACCTTTCGTCCTTCCGAGTAGACCAGCCTATATTTACTTGTCAATAGATTGTGCCACAAGGATTTTTCTGGAGACAAAACTGCCAAACCTAAATAGACACTAAAGCCACATTTCAAAGGGTGAGGTTAACGAGAAACAATGTACCTTCTTGACTCAAAGAAATTGTTTTCCGGTAATGAGATGACTGATGAGTACTCCCCTTTCATGGCCATTACAACCCTAAATAAAGCTTCTAACCTTTTGTATGAACATTTTGACGCCTAAGATTGCTTTAGAAAGTTTTAGACAGCCTCGTAATGTTCTAAAAAATTAAGTAACGAATTCTTAAATTTTTTTTTTTCCAATCTAGCTAATTACCCTGCTTCCCTCGTTCAGAATACCTTCACAAGTAAAAAAAATCAAACTGCCAGAAACTGAATCTGAAAAGAGAAAGAGAGACAGATCCTGAAACCATTTAATACGAATAATATAACGATTGTAAGCGACAGAGAAAATTCTGAGATCTCCAAAACCCCTCGACCATAGAAGTCTAGATCCAGGTTTTACAAGTCCAACAATATTATTCTATAAATCCCAACTGGTTCGTACCCTTCAGCTTGGTAAGTTACATATGGCGGATCAATGACCGGACACTGGTTTTCAAAATGAAAAAGAAGAGAAAATTATGCATGAATTGAACAAAGTCAAACGAATGAACGCAATGAAAAATTCCAAGAACCCGAAAAAATTTCTAATGTTGTAATACAAAAATCAAGTTCCTAAATTCAACGGCTCCTCCTCGCTTATACGAATAAAATTATAAAAGACGTTCACACAATCAAGGTCAATCAGGATTTCTCTACGCCAGGAATCAACTCAAATTCGCAAATCGGATTACCAATTCAGACAGAAATTTTAGAAAAACAGAAACCAAATAAGAAACCGACACAATTTTAGGTAATTTCCGCACAGCAAACTCCCAGCCTAGTGCAATTATAATGATCGGTCACGTAATGGGCACCGAAAAGGAAATAAAAGGGATATGGAACTAACCCGGGGATCTTATCAATCACAAATTCTACGCCATCTCTCGCCAATACAAAAAGCTCGTTGGTGAAGGGAACGGGCATCCCATTTTGAAATAGATTAGGATTGAGAGCCATGGAAGATGAGAATTAAGCCGGCCTTTGAAGACGCGAGATTATAAACTCAGCTGGCTGCCCACTTCCACGACCTTCTGGAATAATTCCTCGGTTGCACAGGGAGAAGCTTCAGGATTGACGGATATTAGCGGGAACGAGGCTCGCTCCTCGAGGAAAAATGGGGAAATTTAAAGGTCCTTTCCACAAAAAATGGGCGATCATTAGTGGATAAGATTACGATTGATCATCGACCAAACTATATTGTAAGAATTAAATTTTTTTACTTTAAAATTATTATGTGAAAATACTGTCTAATTAATTTGTTTTGTTGATAAAGTTGTTTTTTTTATTATTAAAACAATTTTTGGAAGCAGAAGATATGAAGTGAAATGTGCGGGAAAAATATGTGGTGATGGGCTTTTCCGTGCGCATGTAATGCTCTCTTTTCTTCTTCCCTTCAACTTTTGGGGTTTGATTTCTTCATCTCATGAGCAGTCGCGATTTTGATCTCCATTGACTGCTCGCAGGAACCCTATCTAAGTGCTCAAATGGCCCAATTCACCGCACATAGTCGGGTTAAGTTGTTGCTCAACGGAGACGGAGTGCCATTCGGTTCAGAACCAAAAGATCGTTCGCGACACAAGCTCAGATCAGTACGAACCCTTAAGCGAAGAACTCCTTTATCCGGTGCCTCCTCCACTGGACTTTCCCCTTCGTCGTCCTCGGCTTCAGCTTTGAGGAAATCCGCTCAGCGTGTTGGTGTGAGGGGTGAGAGCGTTAGCGGAGACGACGCCATTCTTGATATTGACTATGATTACGAGTTTGAGAGTGACGATCTGGCTTGCTTCAGAGGTCTCGTCTTGGATATTTCCTACAGGTAATGTTATTCCACTGAGATTATTGGAAAGCTGTTTGAATATTAATAGTGGCATAATCGGGAGTTAGTTAATTGTGGATGGCTATAAATAGGGGGAGTTCGGAGTTTAAGAATTAAGCATAATTTTTAGGAATTGGTGTACTGTAGATCTTAGGAAAGAGATAGCCATCACCTTTTGATATGTCCTGTATGCGGTACCATGCACTGAATAAAACGAACAAACACAAATAAACTTGACTCCATTTCTGTATGTGGAATGGAGTGACCTCCACTTTTTTGTGTATACTCGTTTCATGTTGCTTTGATATCTCCATATTGTTTGTATGACTGGAAAGGTTGTAATTTATCTTTTGCTGTTGATTTCCTTGCTTTAGGCCAGTTAACGTTGTTTGTTGGAAGCGTGCAATTTGTTTGGAGTTCATGGAGAAGGTTTGACCAATCTCTTTTACATATTATTTTCCATTGGTTTTCGTCATGAATAGGAAAATATGTCCAACTTCCGAGAGCGAAAAACAAAATGGGAATTGCTAAATGCTTTGATATTTAAATCCAAAGGGAATAAGGAAACTGTCAGTTCCACAAAAGATGATCACGATCCTTTTCTTGCTGACGATAAAATGACACAGAACTAAAGAAAAAATGGCAATGAATACGATGTTGGGTGTCCACGCTATCATGTAAAACTATTTGCAGAAAGTCTGTGAATTTAAAATCTTGATTATGGATTTCAAAAGGCTTAGATAAGGGTTTGGTTCTATCAATTGATTGAGGTCGATCGAGTAGTTTTGAATCCACTGTAAATGTTAACAATGCATGTTTCGGTATGTCTTTATCTCGAACCTTATTCGCTTTTCCAGGCTGATGTATTGGAATACTATGACCAAACTGTGAGTTCTCCAAGTGGATCCTTCTATATACCAGCAGTCTTAAGGGTATGCATCAAACATGTATCTGGTTCATTCATGGACTTTTTTTCACTGGATTCTACTTATTTCAATCTTTACTTCCATAACCAGGAGAAGCTCAACACTGAACTCATCTTTTTTTACTTGTCTTGTATTTTTCTAAGGCCTTTGAAGTAAGTTACTATACCATCTCCCCTGTCAGGTTCCTCATTTATTGCAAGTTGTAAAGAGAAGAAGAATCAAGCAGTCTTTGAGTCGTAAAAACATCCTTTATCGGGACAATTACACTTGTCAGTAAGTTACTCAATTTATCATTTAAATTTGAAATGGAAGAAGTTACTTTGAGATGCTTTGCTAATTTTATGATTCGATTACATAATCATTTTAATTGTAGTTTCATCAAAAACCTGAATAGCCTCTGAATTTCATGTGAGCTTGTCCCTTTAGTGGGTTTAGGTCTTTTTAAATTCTCAACACTACTTTCAATAGGAAGGCTTAACTAGACTATTAATATTGAAATGAGGAAGATATTTGCTATGAATTCTTTTCAGTTCTTGTTATTTTGTGGCAAAGGGTGAATATTAATTTCAACCAATGCTATCTTTGTATGCTGTCTCATTTTTCTTTATTTTTTCGTTGCCTTAAATGGGCCTCTTCTACAGGTATTGTTCATCACATGAGAGTTTGACGATTGACCATGTTTTGCCCGTGTCCCGGGGTGGAGAATGGACATGGGAAAATCTGGTGAGTTATCTATCCGGTAGATATTAATATAAGATTACAAATGCTCAACTGAATTTTCAATCATCGAAAGACTGAAGACGTCTTTGTTGAATCTTCACACCTGATCCAGGCTGACCCCTGTCCTCTCATGTTATAACAGGTGGCCGCCTGCGTGAAATGCAATTCAAAGAAAGGGCAAAAAACTGTTGAAGAAGCAAATATGAAGCTGAAAAAGACTCCCAAGGTAATATTATATTATGTTTCGTTTACAATGTTTGATCTCTTCAACATAGCGGCATCCCTTTTCAGAAGACGGTTGAGTCCTCCCGGCTTTTGTTCTGTTCTCAAGTCCCTGGACTTAAAGTCTCATTTCTGTAGTAGACCAATTTGTTAACATCCCTTCCGACATCTAATGCAGGCTTATTTATGGGTTTTGACACCTTGAATCTTGCAGGCACCAAAAGATTACGACATACTTGCCATTCCTCTAACCAGTACCGCAATAAAGATGTTGAAACTCAGAAAGGGGACCCCTGAAGAATGGCGTCAATATCTGTCGAGTGAGCAATGACGTGCACTCATAATGGCACTCGTAAATTCTTCTCTGAACAAATTGCACATATCATACATACACTTGTTTCTTCTAAGACTTCGGCACCTTCAAACTAATTTATTCTATCATTACCTCCCACAAGCATTTTGCATTTTTTTTTTTTACTGCTAATTGATAATATGCGACTTCATTTTGAGGACCAAAATTGTCACGACCTGTTTGCTTCTTAATTTGGATTGATTTTTTAAAATGCTTTTAAAAAAATTAAGTTTGATTGAATTAGGTCATCCACTACTACTAATTATTATTATTGATTTGAGCCCAAATATGTTCGAAAAATGATAGATTGAATTGATTAAAATAATTCACGAATATAATTTTTCACTTGTGTTATAAGTATTATAATTTTTTTCTAAGTCCAATCACCTGACCAATATTCCTAGAACTGAACATACAGCTCAAATCCTTGACTCGAGTTTAACATAACAAATCTCTACACAAACCAACTCAACAATTGCACCAAACGACCAGTAAAAAATGACCATTTAGCACACGCCACGTCAACTCCCTCCATTTTTGGAAGCCAGGTGATACAGCCTCATTTGATTCAAATGGCCTCCTCCTACATACTTGGAGAGAAAAAACGAGCGGCAGTGCAAGCTATTAATTACATTAAGCGCCCACTAAGCTGTTTACATGCTGGCTAGCATGCCTGTTGGGAAATTTTTAGTACAACAGTAGTATGAAACTTTCTGTGCTACTTCAAATTGTTTATCACATCTATACTACTTTAAAAATAAAAAATATATCACTTAATACAATACCTAATTCTCAATAGGAGTAACTATAAATTTCCCGTGAGCCAGCATAAGCTTATATTTTACGGTTTCAGGGGGTACTAGGAGCCGACTTTAACTCCCCTTGGCAGCTCCTGGATTGCGTCCAAACTGGATAATCATTGGCTTGCCTTTGAATACGTAACCATTTACTAGATTCTGTCAAAACGATAAATGTGGCATTTTAGACATGTAAATCAGTTTAGTCCTACCGGAAGAATAGAACAAACCAAACAGGCAAGCACAAATAATACAACAACCTTCAGGTATTTGAAATAGCAATTCTATAGTATTTCAAGCCGAAGGGCATCCAAAAGAGAAGTCTTCGCAGTATTTTGCAAGGCCACCAATTGAGAAAACATATCTTAGGAGAGGTAATATGGGAAAAATTGAGTCTGACAGTTATTTATCTTGTGCGTGTAATATGAGTACAGGAGTAGGGAAGTTAGCATTTTGCTGAGGTTCTAAAATAAGGGAGAGATACCAGCCCCCATGGAATGGCTGGGTAGTTTTTCGGGTGGTTTTTCACCCAGACATTCCCATACATAAACTCTAGATGCATATATCATATTTATTCAGAAGAAAACAAAGGTAACAAAGAGATTTTACAAAAAATAACAATAATAAATAAATCAAGAGCAACTGCCATTAACCCTTCCTAGTGAATAAATATAAATCAACAGCGAAGGTAAGCTTTTGTACCAACTATGAGACAGCATGCATAGAACTTAAGTTGCACAAAATATTAACGAACAAACAATTAAGCCTTTGTAATATAGTCGCTTTTATGGTGTCAAGTGAACTAGTGATTTTCTACACCCTAGCTCCATGCCTTTAGCTTTCTTTTATTTTATTGCTATTAATTCAAAAATAACTCTGGTGTAAAACAAATACTGAATTTTACTACTAAAATAAAATTACATAGATTGACAATCAAGAGTATTTATAACCAATATGTCAAGTGATCCTTCAAAAAGAAAAAAGTTAAATAGATCGAAATAATCAAATACATACCAAAGCATGTTGCGCAAGTTCAACTGATGGAAGTGTAACAAATGCTTGGCCCCTCATTCTTCCCTCCTGAAATTCAAAATAAGAAAACTTCAGAACCCCAAGTCATAATTAAATACATTTGGACAACCAATCATTGCTTTCTGCTTTTCTTTCAAGAAATTTAATAGGAAAAAACATTGAAGCCACGCTAGACATCCAAGTAGTTGGATTATGAGGTAAGTAAGCTGTTATTTGATAATATAGGTTGTATTCTTTTGAACAATTGTTATCCTAGTCCGAGTTTAATTTGATTATTTTTTTCTAAGCTTTCCATGGTTTGTTGCTTGCAGCATTTAGATACTTTTTTTAGATACAATTTCTCTATTCACTTGATACAATTTCTAATCGATTTCTACCTTCCTCAGCATCAAACTTGAAGAGAAATGTTCCCAACATGGTTAGCAAGACTGATATAATTGTTTTTTTTATAAGAAACCGAGCTTTCACTGAGAAAAATGAAGAACTATACAAGGGTATACAAAAAAACACACCCACAAACAGGAGTCCCAACACTAGCTACAAAAGGGATCCAATCCAAGAGATTGATAAGATTTGTTGTCTTCAAATACTTAACCCTTTATTCTTAGTGTTCCATGCCTAATATTGGAACTTTAATATACGGTTTTACTACTTTCTATATATTGTGAACTTTTAATCGCTAAGCTGTGGCCTTTCACCCTTTAAAAATAGTGACCAGGGTCGCATTTATATGGTAGAGAGGAGTTGACAACACTATGCAATATTGCAATATTGAGAACCGCATCTTTAGGTCATCTACAACACAATGCTTTTTCTAAGACTTCCTTTATTTATGCTTATTTATCTTTGTAAAAGCCGATGCCTAACAATAAAGCACATTATACATACTCTTAGCTCCCCAACTCAGAGAATGAGACAACTTTGCAGATGTTGCTTTTTAACAAACTGAAGACATCTGACAACTTTACAGATGTGCTTCAAGTAGTCAGGGAAGAAATTATAGTTCTCGTTTATCCAAAAAATTCTTATCAAAACGTACACATCTGACAACAATACCTAACCTGCATTAGCTTCACAGTGAGAGCAGATTTGGCTTCATCAATACCTCCAAATAATGATCCTACAAAATACAATTTAAAAGCAATATATTTAAAACCTCCCATTGAAAAGATGAATTCAAAAAACAAATATATAGGCTGATCGGGATAGATCATTGCAATTGTTCGTCTTAAAAAAGACAAATATATAGGCCTATCCAAGGATTACAAATGAGGTGGCATTAACTTAAAAGTATAGATGCCCATTTATGAAATCTCAGATTTACATCTCGATATATTCATGTAACCAAAGGGTCAGAGGTATAATTTTATCAAACATAAGAAAATTTCTTTTCACAAACTCTTGGTGTCTGTTCGAATGTTCAATATAGAGGTGGCTAGCTGGGACGATTTTTCGGAAAAACTAGATGAGGTCCAGCTATCTAGGGGCCAAAGACAGAATCTGGCGGAAGTTAGATCCAAATGGCTTTTGTTCTGTGAAATCCGTCTTCCTTCATCTCACCAAAGAACTCCTTTGGTGAACTACATATGAAAGTTCAAGATACCAAAGAAAATTAAATTTTTTTATTCAGACTTTGGTGTACAAAAAGCCTTAACACCGAAGTTTACCTCTTACAGTCGAGTGTTTGTGCTATAATGAAAATGAGACCTTCAATCACATCTTCATTCAGTGCTTCTATGCTCAGAAGGCCTGATGTTTCATTTTGAATGAATCTGGTATGGCATATTGTCTCCCTGATTGTGTCGATTCTTAGCTTCTAGAAAACTTTTAACATAACTTCTTAAAAGGCCTTTGACTTATTGGTTCCAAAGACAAGTCGACTCTGGTGGATTGTTTTTATAATCCTATGCAGCATAAAATCTCGTCTGCTCAAACCACAAGAAGTACTTTTGTAATCACAACCTCGTGATTATTAACAATGGAAAGGCTTTGCTTTTGTAGGATTTTGGGCAGGGGTATTCTCAACCCCTAGCCCTTAGCTTGTTTGCCTTTTATCGTCATAATACATCACCCGTTTCAAGGGGCACCAAAGTAAGAGGTCAAAGGGGGAGTTTTCATCCATAAATACGTCAAAAATTATTCACACGGAGTACATCCCAAATTCCCCCAATCCTCTTGCCATCTCACGACTTTGCCTTCATATTTGAACCCCTACCCAAGATTCCTTAATATCAATTCTAAGGCTTCCAGTTCATGAGAAAATAACAAAAATAACAAATAGTGAAAAAATAATCAACAGTGCCGTGTATTTCCATATATGCACACAGGCTGAATTGGGGCAAAGAAACTAACCAAATATATAGTAGAGGTCATCATTCACTACATCTTTGGCTAAGTTCTTAATATACAGCACCGAAGTAGGACTCCCAGCAGTATAGTTCTGCAATATCCATGAAATTTCCAACATTATTTTTCTATCATACTCAAATGGTAAATTAAAAGAAAAAGGTAGCTAAATATACCCAACCCTAAACCAGGGAAATGAAAGAAAAATTTATTAAAACAAAGAAAATAAATTTTATTGAACTCATCCCCTCTAAACACTTAATTATTCTCATAACCTTTATTGACCACTGGCCAACCCAACAAGCATCAACAAAAGAGGGAACATCGGTATCCAAAATGCTGTCAACAAAGCAGAAACTTAAAATATCCGCAACTAGAAATTCACAACTTTGCTAACAAGAGACAAAAGAGCAATACCGAACCCATTTGGTCATTGACACCCAAAGAGAGTCATTAAATCTAGTTGTGGACCATACCTCTCTAGTCTCTACTGACACACAACCCTTCTAAAAATCCTCCTCTCTCTCTCCAGCCAAATATTTCACAAGAAAATAAGGTTGCACACCCCAAGGAACAAGATGCCCATGATTGTCCAAGAAAACAAAAGCAAAACGTCTTAGAACTACCTTTGTCAAAATTCTGAATTTAAAACCAATAGGAACCAAATCACGGTCAAATTTCTAATGCAGTAAGCCTTTTTTATAAGCATATGTGGTAAATTTTTATTTAAGAAAAATGTTTAACCATCTTCAAAGCACTTTTTTTTTTCCCCTCACTAAATAATTTGTTAAAACATATACAAAAAATGGAGCTTAAATAAATGAATGTACGAATAACATGCAGTGTTTCATACTTGAGCATTAAAATATCACATGGTAAAGTACCTTGAACATTGGAAGTGATAGAATTTCTTCTGGAGGCAATTTACCTCTCTCTAAATCTTCGAGTGTTGCATAGGATTTAAGATCTGCTGCTTCCTTTTCTGTCTCTTCGACCTCATTATTAATATCATCCTCCTTTCCTTCCTGCTTTCTGTCATGAACCACCTTAGGGGCAATTTTAAACTGCAACAACTAAACAAGTGAATTTGATGAATCATATAAATAAAGCATATGCCAATTAGCTATCTAATGATAAAAGCAACCTGAAACACTGGGTTTTTCTTTTTTATCATCGGAATCTCTTTGGGGACTAATGTGGAAGGTTTCACCCCAACAGTCTCATGAGCCACATCTTTGTCTATACCCGGGCCTACAATTGCTTCACACCTAGACCGCTTGTTTCCTGATCTTGCAGTTTTTGAGACTCCACTTGAATTATATTTTCCCTCCACATCCTAATGCACATTTATATCCAATTAATCAGTAAGTATCAAGACAAAAGGGAGTAGATTATTATATCAGGCCTCATATAAAATAAGGAAAGATACCTTCTTAAAGTAGTAAGAAAATGAATAGAATAAAAATCAAACAATACAGAAGAACTAAGAAGACAAGGACAAAGGAGAGTATTTTTACCAAAAAGAAAAAAAATAAACGGGATGCAACTAAAGATTATAGGTAACAACTTCAACAAAATTGACAAAAGAAAAAATTGGTATCATCATCCATAAGAGTGAAAAAAGATTACATATTTTTTGTTAACATGCTCTCAGTATGACTTCAAACTACGATAAATAATTATAATTAGTTATCGCAGAAATTCATGACAATTACTTTTTTTATAGAAAAAAATTGTATGAAATTTACAAAAATGGGAGAGGGTCCTAATCCATTGGAATTACAATAAACTTTTCCAATCAGACAAAAGTGTAGAGTAGGAGCAGGAAATCAAAAGATAGGAACATATGCCTTTATGGGTGTTGGTCACTAGGCCTGGTTTGTTCTTTTGGATGGGAGTCCCTTTTGTAGTTAGTTTAGAACTCCCGCTTCTTTCAAACTTGTTTTTTTTTTTTACACCCTTGTATTCTTTCATTTGTTCAATAAAAATTTGATTTCTTATAAAAGTAAGAAATAAATAAAAACTAAAACATTTATTCCAAAAGATATAGCTATGAATTTACCAGCTCCAGAGGCATAGTTACTTTAGTCAAAGTAGTTCAATCAAGCATCCCCTTTATTTGCAGTCCATTTTTAAACACACTGGGATGATGGTGAGGAGATTGGAAATGATATCCAGGGGTTTCTTCTATAAAAGTTCTAGAAGTGGAAATGGCCATAACCTTGTTAATCAGGAAGCTACTTCTCTACACACATTACAAAAGGAGGTGTTGGGGCAGAAAATTTAAAAGCTAAAGATTTTCCCCTTCATGCTAAGTGTATATGGCGTTTTTGAATGACCAAAATGTCACTGTGGAGATGCATCATTGCTACAAAATACCAGTCTCACCACTCTCTTTTGAAGAATTGAACCCTTCTTCTAAATGTCCATTCAACTTCAGTCCCTAGGTCTCTACTTCTTATTGTAACTTGGCCTATACGTGTTAAGAGGTGGCTGTAGGTAATGGAGACAAAGTTCTATTTTGGGAGGATCCCTGGCTTTTCAATGCTCCTCCCCACTTGGCCTTTTCAACTGTCTTTAGCATTGCAAACACCAAGGGCTCCCTTATTTGTCAATGTTGGACCAATCCTTTGAGAGGATGGAATCACAAATATGGGAGAAACTTTTCTGATGCTGTTGTGGAGGAATGGCCATCCCTAGCAAGCTGCTTACGAATTTAGCACTTGAGAGAATAGGGAAGATGCTAAATTTGAACCTTTGATGGTAGTTAGTCTTCATACTAAGAGTCTGGTGCCAACCTTTCATTTAACCATGCTATCCTTACATTATATATCTTGCTCAACAAGGTGAGAGTTTTCTGCAGATTATACTTAATCAGGGAAAAAACAAAAAAATTACTCCTATATCACTGCTTAAATTTTCACGGAAAATGCCTTTCTATTCAATCTTTTCATTAAGTAAATTGTGTGGTGTACCAAGGAAAATAAAATTTGAAGCAACAAAGAGGTAAGTATCTAAATACACTGCCCAGCATCCTCCAAAATCTTCAAAATAACCGCATTACACAACAAACCATGAGTGCACAAATGCATCTATGTACTTAAAGTGAATCAAATATGCACAACCTACATTTATCAATCTAGGCAAGTTACCTCTTCTGAGGACTCCATTTCTGACTCATCACTGGACATATTTGTTATTTGAGGCCTTGGAGTGGCAGGAGGAGGAAGTGGTGGCAATGTTAGTGATGACGGTGGTGCAGGAACGGAAGGTGGAAGAGGTGGAGTGGGTAGAGGCAATCGGAATGGAGCTGGAATGTTCATCTTATTCATTAAATGCAACACCTACAATTAAAAAAAGAAGTTGTGAGTATTTACTTCAAATGTGCTTCCATAGGTTAAACATATAAGTTTTTTTTTTTTTTTTTTTAATAAGAAACATCAAGGAACATTCAACCAAATTGAACCACAACATCCAGACTAATTTTAACTAAAAACTCCTTAACAAGCACTTTTTGGAGGGAGCACCAAGGCCTCTAACGTTCCATAAGACTATCTTCGTGAGACAAACCCCTTCATCTACTTCCTCTGGTTCATTCTCCCAAGTTCTCAAAATGCCATTCAACTATCTAACGTTCTTCTTGCCCATTGGATTGCCTCTTCTAGGAACATACACAATTTCCATCTTTTCGAAGCTTTAACTAGACTTCTGCTAAACGGTGAAGGAACATAACTCCACCAACCCTTTTGACTTTTTTCCTTTTCCTCTCCTCTTGAGTTTCCTCTACGTGATCTACTTTCATTATAGTACCATCATTCCCATCTTTTCTTTTCTCAATAGCCAAGGTTGTATCCACTTCTAAAGCTAAAGGGAAAGCTTCATTTTCTTGAAAACAAAGCTGAAAATTCTCAAGGATCTCTACATAATCCTCTACCCCTCTTTCGTTTTCCTTTACCACATCTTTTTCATCATCAAATTTCTATTGCAAAGCTTAGCCTTGGTATTGGTTGTAGAGAAAATTTTCCCCTTGTAAAAAAAATGACTTTTCCACGACCCTTCTCTAAATCTTCCACAAATTTGACTAATTTTCCCTTTCCTCCTGAAATTAGAGGGAAATTTGGAACGTCTCCCTGATGCAAAGGACCACTGTTACTTTGACTTGACAGGGGAGTCTGCATTCGTGTGGAGCTTGAGTGAAGGCTACGATCAACCGTGTGGGGTCCACAGTCAATCTTATCGAACATGTGATTCAAATTTAGGTAGAAGACTGAAACCTCTCCCTGCAACATTGGAATATTCAGGTAAAAACTAGTTACTGATGAGTAAAAAAAAAAAAAACTGTCCCTTAACCTCCACAAATCTATCAGATTAGAACTGGATCTCATGTCATTGTCATGGAACCTTGTGGCTGCTTCGGACAAAAGTCCACTGTGAACTTCAACTTTCTTTTAGGCCAACAACCAGCCATCTTGGAGCACAATCATCTGGGCGGAAGACACTGGTTCTCTATCAAGGATTTTCCTTTCATTGGGGGATGAATCCACAGTAATTCCTTGCACTTCAATTGCAACTTCTAAGCATTCAATGAGGGAAGAGCTTTGATTTGCATAGTCCACAAAATCCCCTCAAAGCAAGCAATCAATTATCGCCTTGAACCTGGCTAGGCTCCATAAATGCAAGGGATTTTTTTTTTTTTTTTTTTTTTTTAATTTTATCCAACCCTTGTAAGAGGGGACCCTTGTAGTTCTCTCGTGCTTCCGAGGGACCCATCTTTCTAACTTCATTGTAAAGGCTCCTAATGTAACCCCCCTTACAATCATAGCTAGTAGCCTTGTACACTTTGTCAAGGGGCACAACAAAAGGGCTTTATCAGGGAAGAAAAGATTAACAGTGAAAGATTCCTCCGGCTGCTTGTCAAGGGTTTCCAAAAATGTTGCCCAATCATCGTGGAAGTCTCTTCTAGTAATAACCAACGGTTGAACCCATTTAAAAAATCTAACTTCCTTCTTATCCACTTCTATAAGACTAAAACCCTCCTCCTCTAACATACTTGAGGAATCTTTTTCTCCTTATTGGTTTATTTTTCAACACCTCTGCAAAGGAGGAGCCTTCGTACTTCCCTTCCATGAGGGTTTTATTTGAGAGCTTCTTTGTCTTCTAATTTGGTTTTCATGTTTCATTCAAAATCTCTATAAGAAGTTCCTTGAAGGACGTCCAACCATCTAATCTCTATCAGAAGGAACAACAAGATTCATTGGTTCATTTTTCAACACCTCTTCAGAGGAGGAGCCTTCCCACTTCCCTTCCATGAGGGTTTTATTCTAGAGCTTCTTTGGCTTCTCATTTGGTTTCCATGTTTCATCCAAAAACTCTATAAGAAGTACCTGGAAGGACTTCCAACCATCTAATCTCTATTAGAAGGAACAACAAGATTTCTCTTACCACCCAATCTATAAACCTTGATGATCTCAAGAAAGGAGCCTCTTTTGTTTGTAATCTTTTTGAGTCCAAATAAACCCATTACAACAGTCAACCTTTCAATAGAACTTTGGAGAGTGCAGGGCAAGCAGCAGCAGATACTCAAGGGAGTTAGTTAGCCAAACAATCATAACTTCCTCAAGAACTAACTCGAACCTTTTATTTTAAATGAGATTCCTTAATCCTACATCGTCTACGTTCCTTCCTTGGACCAAAACCACAAGAGAAGGTTTTGTTTCTATTTTTCTAGAAAGAAGACCAGCAACCATCATGAGCAAGGAGCACTAGCAACAACTACTGAGCAAAGTCACCAAAAAAACCTCAGGAGGTCACGAGAGGCAACATTCAAAATTGAACTTCACTTTAAGCATATAAGTTTTAAGTTTCTCTTCAAACATATAAATTATCATTTCATTTGTAAACAACAACCTGTGTATAAAAGCGTGGGACAGCTATGAGGGCATTAACGATGTTGGTCAGGATATTGCCATCTGGAGGAGGATAAGCATACCTAAAAAAGTGTTTACCAAATTTTAACAAATGTACAATCAAATACAATTGTCTCCATAGAAATTTGGTAAAGAACAAACAATTTCAATCAGATCAATAACAATGGATAATCAAGAACCACAGTATTTTGAAGAAAATGAATCCAATCAACACAACAGGTGATGCAGTGCAGAAGGTATCCAAAGAATATCCGTACCTTTTCCATTTAAGGATTGTATATATTTTCTCTTTGGATTGTTGGAATTGTCTGATTAACCTATTTTTGTGGGCAAGTATTCAAGAACATCATCCACATAATCGCAAAGAGTTTCATTTTCTCCACATTTGATTTAGAAAAATCTTTTATAGACATAAACGCTAGTGCCACAGAATTGTCTAAATTACATCTCTAAAGAGAATAACTATATCACTGTTTTTGGACTTACAGAGCTGATTTATGTCATTCTCATTAAATGTTGATTTAGTACTCCTATAATGTCGATTCAGTACCTTTTGTGAGGCTCGTTTAAACTAGAGTATGTCTAATTGTGTAGATGCTCAAAACTTTAATACAAAAGTTCGACAGTTTAGAACTTACAGAACAACTTGCGTTTTCAAGAAAATGAAACATTAAAGAATCATCAATTTCAACTATCAATCTTAAAGAATTTGTAGACCTAGCATACATAACAATACATTACAAATTATAATGTAAGATGAAAACAATAAATAGTGGTAAGAGCACCGTACTCCAGATGAGGAGGGAATGGATAGTCCACACCAAGCCTTGCAGCAATTGGCTCACCAAAATGCAGAGGCGTTGCTCTCATACCCACAGTATGATCTTTACTCCTGTGGTCCTTAGGCATGCAATCTTTGATGGCAGCATCATCCATCTTGGAAGATGAGGATCAACAATATTCTTCGTTCACAAAGATACAGTCTGTTTAAATCTATTATATGAAAATGGTGTCGCACCGCTTTCCTCTGCTAGAAGTTCACCAAGAAGCCTCAACCTGCCACCAAAAGAAAACCAAATTAGAAAAATGTCATCTCTATCACTGAAAGCATATACTCAAAAAAATTGTTGTCTCACTTCCTAGTTACGGTAGCTCGGGCTAGTATAAAGTAGATATTTGTTGCTAATGGCTATCTGAAGTGATAAAAACAAAACAAAAAAGAAACAATCATTCAATCGTGATTGCAGCAATCGTAAGTACACCAAATCTTCACAAAAATACGCAATAGTCACAAACAAACCTTGAAGCAGTCGAATGAGTGAGAGACTTACAGGGGAGGGACGAGGGAGAACGATAAGTCGGAATAGAGAAGAGCGATTCTCGAGTCGACCAGTGACGATTCTGCATTCAGAGACGAGGGATGGAGACTGATGTCGATGGGAATCGAACAGCGAGCTGAGAGTGAGCGAGATTGCTTGGGATTCAGGGGAGGGCGGGCAGCAACCGCGCAAGAAGCTACATTTTTTCTATTTTCTTTTTGCTTTTTTCTTTTTTGTTGAAACGGAAAATAGTGATTTTTTCTTTTTTTTCCTTATTAAAATTATTTTGTGTTAAAATTGCTTATTAAAGCTGGGCTAAATTACCTTTTTCTCCTTGAAGTTTGAGTATTACTTCAATTTAGTTTTTAGATTTCAATATCACAAATAAGGTACTATTTAATCTTCATTTTTCATATCCAAAATTATTCTCTAATATTTATATTACGTTTTAAACACAAATTTATTTTCATAAGTTTTAAAATTTATAAAACACGTGACAACTTTTTGTAATGATTCTTCAATCAAAACTAAACTGAAAGTAAAAAAATGAAACATTTGTTCCAGTTTAAGGAGTAATTTGATAAAATTAAAAGTTTATACATCTTATCATAATCTATGATAAATCTTTTAGATGCTCTATTATTTATTTTATTTTTTTTCAACAAATTTAGAAGTGAAATTGAGCTATATTGTGTAATGAAGTGATGGAAGGTTTTCACTTCACATACTAAAATGCTACAAAATTGTTATATACTAAACTTGAATCACTACCTTAGTGTATTTTTTTTTAACATTTTTTAACCTATTTTATATTCTTGAATTTTGGTATAGTATCAATTAAATTTCAAAATTGATAATTTCACTATTTTAACTTCATGGTACCTCCATAACTTCGATATCAAATATCATATCAAAGTCGGTAGTTTGATCTCTTTCAACAAGTACTAAGCTCAACAAATAAAATCAAAATCAAAATAATTTTATTTTAAGTATTTTTATCTTTAAAAATTCATAAAAAAGTAATAAAAAAAAATCGATATTTTTTTAGTTTAACAACATTTGGAAGCCCGTGTTTCATAATTATAATATCTTAGTCAATGATACATTTTTTCCGACTAGATGTAGTATAAATTGTACTTGATTCTTTTATAGACTTTTAGTATTTTAGAGTAAGAGTTATATATATCAAGTTCACTCAAGACAGTATATAGCCCATATACTACATATTAGAGGTACATAATACGTATAATAACTTATTTAGGAGTGGAAAACACATTTACTATAAATAACATATAAAAATATTAGGATTTTTGTTTGCTTGGTTTGTAAATATCAAGTATGTTCCATACATACAATCTCTTATACAAGGTATTTAGATTTAGGGTTAAAATATCAAGATTATGTATCACAAACAAACTCATTTCAATTGTCCATTTTATATTATACATGTATCCCGAAAGTTCAATTTTCAAATCTCCATTCAACCTCTATTCCTCGAAAGTTAAATTTTCAAATCTCTATTCAACCTCTATCCTTACTCTTGGACCATGACATTCTCTATTAAAAAACAAAAAAAAAAAAAAACAACAGTTTGTCAGGGTTACAATTAACTACATGATTTTCCATCTTCGCCTAAAACACAAAACCAAGCAAATAGACAACTCAGTTAGTATATCACTCGTTTCACAGTTTTGATATATGCATGATTTTGATCGAAGTTTAAAGATAAAAATGAGCATGCATGGCTATTCGTTAACACTAAATATAGAACTTTTCTACTAGGTTTCATGGCACTAAGTTGCTTCCTTGATGTAGACACCTCTTCTAGCCTAGCTTTTCAATCATGGTTCGAATCAATTTTCCAAAGCTGGAAAAAAAAAAATAGCCCTGCTTGAAATTACCTTCAAAACTGGATGTGACCATTCTGAAGTAAATTTCGAGCATTGCATAAAATAGTACTGGCTTCCTCATTTGATGAATCAAGCAACCGCAGCTCTTTGATCTCGTGTTGCCATCTTTCAACATTATTCTTGTGGATGCTGGGAAGAATGAAAGAAAGAACAGTAATTAAGTTAATAAAGTAGTTCTCAACAAAAATGTTTGAAGGTATATATTGTAGTTTCAACTCACGCTATGATTTGCTCTTCAAATTCATTACTAAGATCTTTAAAAGCAGTCTTTCCCGACTCCAGGAGTTCAGACACCTTCATTAAGAAAAAATTAATGTGGATCAGTAGAAAATATTTGCAGCCAAACAAAAACTTGAAAACAATACATACTATTGCAATATAACCCAAGTTCTAGCTACTTCCCTTCACATATTTCCACACATATTTTCATATTCATATAATATCCTATACTTTTAGGACATTAGCCCATGTGACTCTACTTTTGATTTCACAGAAAAAAAAAAAACAAATCTCATATCAATAAAGATAATGTCTCTCACTTATATACTCGTGATCTTTTTTTTATATCTAGTCAATGTGGGATTTTGGTCTCACTCCTAACACCGAGCTCATATTGCCAGCTCAAAAAGATTGGTCATAGCCACCACCTACCAGTTGTGTGAAGCTTTCAATCTTTTCTAGTAGGCGAGCTATATTGGATTCCATCTCCTCGGATCCCCTAATGTCCGTCTCACACTGCTCATTTTCTGAAATGTTGGACATGCTTGTATCCTTTCCCTGCTCTCCCATCTGAGGAAATGTAATTTCTCATTTCCATTGGCAATGGCATGATAAATAACGACATAGAAAAAAGAGTAAACATACAGCTAGTTTCATGCGTTTGCCAGTGAATTCGGTACCATTGCTTTCCATTCCAAATATGCAATTGTTTATCAATCAACTGTAGCAAGGTGAGAAGTTATTTATACAAAAATATTCGTATATTGAGAAGAACCTAAAAAACTTCATTGTAAGGATTTGTCGTTGCCATGTGCTTCACAGAGAGGGATACTCATACGACAAGAGGTAGATAGATTGAACGCGTAGTAAACAGAATTTGGAGATAAGATTAACAGATTTTGGACCCGGACGGGCAGTAGTAAGCGTCTAATAGTTAACACTCTGAAATAGATGTACAAAAAGGCTCAAGTTAGAACAAAAGTTCCAGTATTCGTCCCCTAACGTCATGCTACACACATCCAGACCTTGAAATTCTTCTTGATAGCATAGCAGCTAGGAGGCGCAAGACATTCAGCAGTCGCAAAAAATTAAAAAAAAACAGTGTTGACTACAAAATTGCCACGAGTAGACGATTATTCGACTTTTTCGTCTTGCCTATTCAAATGAACTTCAAAAATGTACACCACGACACGTTAAACAAGGAATCATTCTGATTTCCAATACCAAAATTTGGAAAGGAAAAAAAAAAAAAAGGCTAAAACTCTAGGTTTCACAAGGAATCGATACTAAACTGTTCATCATCAGCCATATTTTTCAGTGAAGTTGATTCAAGCGTCAGTTTTACTAAACTGAGATGATCGAATGTTAGGACAACTTGAAGTAATTGCATAATGAATGAAGAACAGCAAGATCAAATGAATAATGATATGGAGCATTCTAAAGATGGAAAAAATAGAGTTCGACAGACTCTTACCAATTTTCTCCGCTGATTGCCTTCTCCACCTCCGTCGGTTTAATGATTTAGCGCGCCAGAATACGAGAGAATGGAGCCGATTTATACTCGATTTTTAAAATGGATCAATTTTATATTGCCCAAATTATAAAAATAAATAAATGACGACTAACTTTGTTATTTATTTATTTATTTTTATCATTTTAAAAGTTGCAATATTATTTATTATTTTTATATTGCCCACCTCCCAATTCACTCCTCGGATTCAATTCACTCCTCGGATTCAATTCACTCGCACGCCACAGCGTACGAAAGCGTCTCTCGTTCGGTAGGTCAGTATTGTTCATGTTCATACGCCGTTCTTCTTAATAATCCTTCCCATGGATCCTCTAAGACACTGGATTTGGATTAATCTTCTCTTGATATAACATTAATTTGATCAAACAAATCACCCAGCACTCCCTCGTCAATGGGGAGCTCCTTCACGTCTAAAAAAGCGATCTATGAACGTATTGCATTTATCTGCGAGGCGTCTTTAGTCGTTGCATATAATTTCTTATTCTCATTCCATGATATCTGTTGAGTTAGTGGATTATGTGTTTGATATGCGTCAGATTATTGATTGATAGAGGATGGGTTTGTGATAGGACTTAGCAAATGGAGTTTTGCCCAACTTGTGGGAACATGCTGCAATTTGAGTTACCCAATATGGGTAAATCTTCTAGATTCTTTTGCCCGACTTGTCCATACGTGTCTTACTTGGAGAATAGGGTATGTGATCAGGCCTCGAGTTGTTTATAACTTCCCTCTTTTTGCCTCTTAATTTCTTATGTGGTGATGCAAGGAGTGTATTCTCTTGATTCTACCATTCAGGTAAAGATAAAAAGAAAGCAGCATTTGGTGAAAAAGGAATTAGAACCCATAATCTCTGATGACGATATGAAAAATGCAGCTCAAACCGAAGGTACACATCTTTTCATCATAGCTCTGTATATTTTTTTTCGCAGTGCTCAGTTTTTTTTTTTTTTTTTTGTTTTTCAATTAATTTATACATGATGGATTTAGGCAATAGATTTAATCATATAGATGAAGCATTGATTGACATTTACAATTTTTCTAGTGTTTTTATATTGTATTATATGGTAATGGTAAGCCAAATTAGTGTGCAGTTATTTACTTCCAATAAATGTAATTTACAAAGGATCTTAGCCACCATATGGAAACAAGTAGATAAATGGAATCCCAATGACTGAAGTTGTAACAGTTCTAGAATGATTATAAAAATGACAAGGTCCTAAGTTTCTTACCTAGGAACGAAATCTTTTAGGACTCTTTGGCAATTTTTTCTTATCTTTAAGCCTAACAGATGTTAAAAAATGAAGTCCTTTAAGCCATTAGGCACAATGAACTTCTAAACAAAGAAAATTATGGAGTGTCAATTCTTCTCTCTCTACAAAGGACACACCAACTGAGCTAGAGCAACAATGAAAGCTTTGTCTTTCAGATAACATGGTTAGATTGACAGACGACATGAGGACTGTGCACATTTTGGGAACCTTAGACTTCTAAATTATCTTACACATCTTCATTGGGATAATGTCCTGTTTAGGGACAATTGATCAGCAATGATAGTTGACACGCAAA